CGGTATTCTCCAAGTCTGAATTTAAAGTCTATTGCTTTGTTTTCTGCAGTTAGAGAAGACTGCACTCTGTGACCCAGCTGGTTTCTTTCAGTCCTACACCTCTATGAGTGAAATCTTGATAAAATTAAGAGATTTAGCCATCACCTTTTGCCAATGTGATATAGGTAGGTCTGTCAAAAATAAATGTCCACGAGTCAGTGCATATAATTGTGCCTGCTATGACTGAAGAATCATCATCCTTCATAATCTCTGGAAGACAAACCTCAATTAACAGTGAATGCACAGCTGGTTTTCAGAGTTCAACAGCAAAGAGGGTATGAGGGTTAGTGCATCAATGAAGCATGATAATTGTTTCACTGTGCTTATTATCTAGCCCCTAAAGAAAGTGAGAACAGTCAGCTGGTAAACAAGCAGTGATAAGCTGTCAGAGCAACTAGAGGAGATACCACTCTGCTCTACAATACTGATCCTGAAGGAAAGTGAAGTTTCAGTCAGCTAGGTGCCTAGTGCATAATGGTCCAAGAGCAAAAAAGAGATGCTTTAGCCTTACATAGGGTCAGAAAAATGAGAGAGGTTCCCACCCAAACTCTTCATGATGACATACCACAGCCTTGCCTGTGTCTATGGTCTGCACAGGTAGAAGATAGCCTCTACTCTACCTGCTGTTTAGCTCAGGCTACAATTACTTGTGTTTTGATTTCCTGAAGCCAATGTGATGCTCCCATTGGGGAGTATGGCATTCCCCAGGCCAGGCTACAAGTGGCTGTGACAAATATCGGAAGTTGACACTACCCAACAACTAAGGCTCCTTCTCAATCCGTCTGCACAGAAATGCCTTAAGAACGTGCAACCACCCAGTTCCCTGCCTTGATTCAAAGCCCCATCTCTTGTGGCTCCAGCCCTGACACACACCCTTTACACACCCGAGTCTTGCCTCACCTCCTTTCCCCTTCCAACCATTCCTGTTCCCTGGTCTGCCCAACCAAATAAATGCCACTTGCCATGCTGTCACCATCCTTCCCTTCGCTGTAGATGGGCACCTCCTCAGCTCTCTTTGCTTCACAGCTTCATGCCAGTCTCAGCTGTGGCAGATGACATCTACCTTCACCACAAGTTCAGTCCAAGCTTCATTGCTAGGCTTGACCGCCCACATCCTGGTTGTAACAATCCCAAACACACATTTACCAGCTGAGGAGCCAAGAGGTATTAACCCCTGCTTCACCACCACTGACCAGTACCGCATGCTCCCATGCAATACAATGCAGTCACACAGCAGCATCCTGCACTCCCCTCTCAGCTGTAGGCATCTTCTTCATACACTGCCCAGGAAGCAGCCTGGCTAGCAGGCAGGCATGGCACTGTTTCAAGATACTTGAAAAGGAACACCAATAAATAAAAGTGAAGAAAATTAGAAGTACATCTATAGGTGAAAACCCTTGTCCCACACCAGGAAGGTCAATACATGTGAAAAATCCAGCTCCAGAATCCAAATATTGGCACACTGAGTAAGCAGATTTGTTTCAGAAGAGACACAGTGTCTGAAACCCTTACTGACTTCACCAGTGTCTCTGGGTAAAACACAAAAATAATTACTAGTAACAGTGACATGCTTAGTAAAGATTGTTAACATTAGCACAATGACTATGTAGAATATGTAAAAATAGAAACCTTTATGAGGTATGAACGCTGCTTCTCTTCCAGCTGAAGAAAAGACCGATACACACGCGGTTTTGATGCCTGCATTATTTTTTAAGAACCTTCTGTCCAAAAGAAACAAACACTTTGCAGGTGTAGTCCTCAGCCCTGCAGCTGCCCAGTACAGGGAATTTCTTACGGATCTCAAGATGAGAATAAGGCAAATTAAGGTGCTGGAATAGACCAGAAATTAATACCTTTTTGAAACTTTAGCCATTTGGAATGGCAAGGGCCAGGAATCTCTTTTCTTCTTATGGAGAAGCGGAGCAATACCTTTGGAAGGGTTTTTTTCTCCTTAAGACGCAGAAGCACAGATCTTTCTTTTTTTTGGGGGGGGCGGGGGGGTGGGGGGCAGCCTTCTCTGAAGATGTACCCACCTCAAATCTTAAGCAACCAGGAAATTTCTGCCTGCAAGGACTGTCCTCTCACACAATCTTCTTCAAGAATTATGTTGGTGCAGTAAGTGCTGTAAAACAAGTTTTGGCTTTACACTTAGAGACCTGAGATAGGAAACATGACTTTGCATTGACTTGAGTGTACTAAACCTTCCTACTTTCAAATCCATTTTTCCATATTTTCATAAGTCTGTGGAAAAAAGAAGATAGTCTGTAAACATCTTTTTCACCATCTAGATCATAAGGATTGTAAAATTCAGTCTGAAGACCACTTACATCTGATGGTTCTGCTCTCTTACACATATAGCTTCCTCTGGTTAACTGCATATTTTCCTGAACTTAGAGATAAGATTAAAAAAAAAAAATTCATCATTGTTAATTATATATGAGGTCCTGGAAACAGCAGCAGAAGTTAAATGCTGAAACAAAGCAAAAAGAAGATTCACAACTTTTACACCTTACAAGAGTTTGGATTTAATAAAGTTTATACTTTTGTTTTCTTCCTCTAGAGTTAAAAAAGCAATTAATGTTTTTAAGTACACAATTTAAAAAATAGTTTTCAGTAGTAGTGTTAGTAGTTTTCAGTCAGTTTCCTAAATGGCTTTAGCAAAATCAAATACAATTCCTACAGTTACAGCAGTTCAACATTTATATGAAGATATTTATATTGTAATGTTTAGAAGTTATGCTCTCCACTTCCCGGAATGGCCCTTTTTCATCACATAATTGATTTAAGTGTACTTTGTGAAATGTGTTATACTCAGACACATACCTGGTTTAGGATTCTAGCCAAATTCTTCTAAAGGGCTTTTACAGGGATAAGTCAGGGTTTTAGACTATGACATTTTCTTAACAGGAATACAGATGCAGTTTCTCATTGGAAAGACAGCCCCATTTCCAAATTAGCCCAATCGACAATAGCCTAACGAGAAGCAACATGATCTATACTACACAATTTGTGTTATGTAAATCCTAATGTGGTGCTAAAAGAACAGTGAAAAATATGTTTGGCTAGAGGCAAAAATTCAGCTCTCTTTCCTTCCGCTTCTTTGACTTAATGAAGAAACGCACGCTTAACTAATTGCTTTGGCAGGCCAGCAGGCTCTCTTTGCTTAACAGCACCATTAGGAATTCCACAAGGTTTCAGCTTCTAATATTAAGGATCTTCAACACATGCTTTTTAAAAGTGAACCTCACGATTACTTTCCTTTTTAAAAGATGCTTTTTCTCTCACTTCCTCCCACTAGTTGCTGCATCAGGCATAACAATGCACAAATACACAACATGCAGTCCAAACTGGGCACCTGTCTGTCACAGGAAAACTTAATACTTACAGAGCACTCTACTAGCGAAAGAATATTCGGAGGAACTGAGTTCACAAATAACAGAAAACTACCTTCCTCACATGCTTGCTTCAGGCTTGCCACATACACCCATCTGAACCTGCTCAAAAGCACTACGGCTCTTCATTTTACAGGTCTGAGTTGTGAACATGCAGCAAAATTCCAGTTTCACATTCACAACAGAAACAAAGAATCTAAACACCAAACCGGGTCATGATTTGTCCTTCTTCACATTTAATTAGATTCCTCTTTTTGGCTAGTTCAGCAATCGTTCTAGATCTAGTAATCCATAACAAAGCAACAGGCAGCCAAGCATTTGAAAGATTGCTGGATTTTGTCTTGGAGGCCACCTGTTTTTATTTTTTTAAAAAACGATATAATATTTAAAGAAAAGATACTACTGCCATCATGCAACTAGTTTCCTCCCCTATTTTATGCAGTATAAAATATAGCAGAAAATGTAATTATCAGCTTCATACAAATGGCTGACATTTTGGTTAGAAGAGGGGCAACAGTGGGGGGCAACCAGAGATCTAAATGCATAACCAGTAAGGATGTTAACATGCTCAGTCTAAAACCGCAGCTTCCCCAACATCCGCTTAGCAGCCTAACTTTCTAAAGAGATGCACTGAGTCAGAGAACTATGCATTAACACAGAGCCCTATAATATTGGCCTGGACATCAGCTGGAATGGGGTAGGCTCAGAATCAGATCACTCCCAACAGCTTTTCTTCCCCTCCAATGTGCATAAATTCTCTGACTCAGTGAACACGTAATTCTTTTAGTCAAACTGGAAGTTCTACTGATACGTTAGCAAATACATCACTACTCTACAGCCTAGCTGCTATGGTAAGCTTCACAGGGGAAAAAACAGATAGTTCAAACTCTATCAAGCAGAGGTCATAAACTAAATGAACTCCCCAGTCTTACACATTGTTAGCCAGTAGTCAGCTCATAACCCTATTCCTTCTGATACTGCTCCAATCTCAAAAGACAGTGGTAATCTTCAGGAAATGACTGCAGGATAAGAAACATTGCAAGAAAGTACCTGCACACATAGATAGGGTAAGATGCTTAGGACCAAAGAAGGGTGGAATCTAAGACACAGCCTTACCATTTGCACTCCCTGTTCACCTGTAAAGGCAGCTCCGTGACCAACATACATACTTTATGCTTGGCATGACTATTTTTGTGGTTCTTTATAGGCACTGAATGTATCTAATACACAATGCAAAGCCCTTGTACATTACTTTGGATTCTGATACTGAGCTTGACATCAAATTTTAGGAGGTGTGATACAGCAGTGCTGCGAAGTCTGTCTTGGATTAGAATTTCTTTTACCACAGTCTCCACAAAAACTACAGACACGGCTGCTACAGGCATGCTAGTAGATGACACAATCTGAAATGATTGGCACTTCATAACCTTAAAGACTCCCTGCACCTTACAAAGGAACATAGCATAAAAAATTTTGCAAGGAATAAGAAAAAGTTATGCTGGTGACTGTGTTCATGGGAAAACAATTTGCATATCAAAGTGAAAAGGCATCTTCTGATCAAAGTCTCTCTCATTCCTGGACCATCTTGTACACAGGGTCTCCAACTTGAATCGTTCCAGTTTTGTCAACAGCAAAGTATCTTCCAAAGAGAGGGCTGGATTTATATATGTGTTGATCAGACGGATCACATAAGCGGTAACTGCAGAGAGAGGCATTTCTTTAGAATGAGTGGTAGCAAATTCTAAACATCAAAATATCAGTGACAAGAGAGAGGACATAAGAATAGTAATGCCCTGTTTTGGTCACCATACTAGACTAAAAACTAAATATATATTACAATTAAGAGAACCAAGCAGTTGAAATAGAGAAAAAAAGCCCGACTGTATTCACACATCTGTGTATAATACACATACAAAAGACTTTATAAAAAGAAATGCCAAAGTTGCAAAGTTAGATATTTAAATACTTTAAATACCTGTCACCCCAGGCATTCACCCTAGCAGAGATGAAAGAGACAGGGAATGTAAAGTTTGCAAGAAAGAAGAGAGAACTTCCTGAATTTTCTTACCATATAGAATTGCAGAAAGTAGAACGGAAGCCAATATACACAGACCTTTACACTGCATTATTATGTCCCACACATACTTCAAACCACTTTTTAAACACTAGTCTAACATCTGTTGGGATCTAGCCTAAATCCACTCTCACAGTCTAAGAAGCGCTGGTATTTTTACAACCTTTTCAATGTTTCCAGGGGCTCCTTCCTGTCCAGGACCCCAGTGTCTGGGTTAACAGTTGTCAAAATACACCTGCAATGATAAGACAGTGCCAAATCAATAATAGCTTCTTATTATAAATCTCTGTACATCTATATAAAATAACGGTCTCTAATGTTTACCTGGCACAACACACTGTCCCTTTCATCTCCACATCGCCAATAAGAATCTCCTCCCAGGTGTCCTGAGGGAAGGTAAATATTATGCACAGATTAGACATATCCACATGCAACTATTTTTCAAGGAGCAGCATAGTCATTCCTAGAAGAAGCAGTACCATTCCAGATGATCACCCTTACCTGCGTCTTCAAAATAATTACAATTACATTATGGTACTATTTTAATGAAAACTCTACAGTCACTGCACTCATCCAATTCAGGACCCGCTAGTAATTATATCCAGAAAGAAAGATACAGAAGTAATAAATCCTGCTCTGCAGTGTGAACTTGTCTGAACCTAAAGAAAGCTTATTCTTACTGTATGTGTGATAATCTGATCTGTGACCTCTGGTAAGTCACCATTTTTGCAGAAAGGAAATTTTTAGTGGAAGTAAGTTTTCACTTCTTGTCTAAGCAAGCTTCCTATTGCAATTCTTCTTGGAAGAAAAAAAAACAAAACAAAACATTACCATTTTAGGAACTTCTTAGATTTGGGAAACTATCAGATCTATCCAGAGCAAATTCTTTGGAAAAATGGCAACATGACATAAAAACGCTTAAAAGCCACCATCACCAGTTCACTTCATCACCAGATACCTTCCTAGATAGCGTTTTTCAAACTACCAGAATATTGTCAGCAGTGCAGTGATAGACTGCAGTATTGCAAGGGTCACTTTTACTCTTGTGCCAAAGGCTATAAAACATCACATTGTCAATTTACAAATTGTTCATTTGTATCACTAATTGATCACTTACAGCATGCACAGCTTTCCCT